TCTTTACAGGGAATGAAAGTTGAAGCTAATGGAAGTCCTTCAATATAGTTCACATCTTGGTCTCTGGCCTTATCTCCTACTGTTTCTAATACAGCTGTCCTCTCCAGCCAGGTTCCATGTTGGCTTACCCACAAATATGTTCTGCTCATCTTTCTGTTTTTCTCCTGCTCCCACCCCATCATAATATCATTCCCTTTCCTTTCCATACAGGGATGTTGTTGTTGTTGTGTGCCATGGAGTCGGTTCTCCATACAGGGATACTAAGAATGAAATCAAAATTTATCATAGCCCCCAAGGCCCCATGTAATCTGCCTTCTGCATGTCTTTCCAGCTGTATTCTTAACCACTCTCCTCCACTCTCTCTTCTATTCCTTGATCAAAGTACTCTGGGCACTTGAACTTACTGAGACTACAGGCTGGGTGGTGTTTTGCTGGCTCCTTCTCATCCTCCAGGTCTCAGTCTTATGGTCTCTTCATTTCATCTCATCAAGATGAAATAGATCTATATAAAGTTGAGCTATGTTAAATAGATGCCCCCAGTTAGCTATTAGCAATCATAATATTTTTTTCTTTTAAAGCACTGTGATAACATTCTGTACTTATTTAATTTAATTAATTTATTTGTTTACTGTCTCCCTCCTTCCTCCATAAAATGGAAGTTCTGTGAGGACTGAAAAAAAAAGTCTTGCCTACTTTTTAACTCCAGTCTTTAGTATGATGCTTGACATGTACTTTATAAACACAATGCAAATATTTTGGGGATGAATGAACAACTGGCTACTCCACAGTCTCAAGACTCAGACTAAACCCCAGTTCTGTAATGTATAATAATAATACTTTACATTTATTGAGTGCCCATTGTATGCCAGTAATTACATACACAGTTTCATTTAATGAGGCCCAGCATTTACCTCCTCTAACTCCTACACTATTTATTACCCAGGCCACTCATTCTGTATTCGATCAAAAGTTAACCTCTTACTTTTTAATTTCATTTATTATATGTATCATTCTATTTGCCCTAATGAAATAAAAATTCTTGATGCTCACCCATAGCACAATGGCAAAGACATTATGTGCTGAATGACCAAAGACATCCCCTCAGGGTTACAACATGAACACAGAAAAATGTTTTGACAAGTTATGTTTGTTACAAACTATCCAAAGAAACACCAAATCAACCATTCTACCTGTAAAGATGTCAAAATGGTTAAGGTGAGGTAGTTTGAACTTTGAGATCTGAGATGTCCAATTCAACCCCTTATTTTTCACAGGACTTTGTTAAAGTCTTAACTGTAAAAATTGCCTAAAAAGCAAATGATTTCATTCTGTGAAGTCATTAGAAATTGATTGTTGGACTTTGAAACATCTGCTTTGCCATCTTTGGGTTTCTCAAGCTAAAAAATTCTCCACTAGGCAGAGACGATGACGTGGAGAGATGGAGCAGCTGGGGACTTTAGACCCAGAGAGGGAGAGGGGCTGTGTGCTGATGACCAGGGGGCAGGCTTGCAGGGTATACCCTTTGGTTGGTTGATGATGCATGGAGGGGATTGTAACCATGGCAATGAAACGATATATGATAGGATGAATATAAAGCTAATGTTCTCCCATGTAAACTAACACATAATTCACAATAAAACATTTTTTTTTTAATCCTCCACTGTTCACAGAAACTTCTGAAATGCCTTTGCACACCTCCAGGCAGTACTAAGGGAAACCTGGATCTATTCTGGCAGAGACTACAGGAAAGAGGATCTTTTTAAACTTTTCTAGATGGTTTGGTATCTGGAAATTCTGCTCCTATACCTCATCTTGGGTTTCAACTGCTGCCTACTCCATCAACTTTTTAATTCAGAAAAAAAAAAGGAGAACCCCTAGGTTCCACAGAACAGTCTAGGCTTCTTCATACCAAGGTGGCTCTTTACCACCTTGGTATAGCTCTCCAAGACTGGCAGTTAGCAAGGAGCCTTCTAGGACTCTTATCTCCAGCACTCCATTCTTTAGACTCTGAGAGCCATTCCTAAGTTATTTTCAGCTCTGGGTATACTCAAGTACTGATTTTCTTGGGCTCCACCCTGGAAGAGATGTGTACAGTCAGGAAAGTGTGGCTCAACCTGTCTCTCCCCATCTGATAGGTCAGCCCAAACACCTGTCCTGTTGGAAGTGCTTCCTTGAGGACAACCTTCCTCCTGGTGTTTTGTTTGTCTTCATTCCATTTTAAATTCCACAGACCTAACTGCTCATTGCAGTACAATCTGGGCGATGTTAAACTTTTTTAAGGATCCTATTTTTTTAGCTTCTTTATTGGAGGACCTAATTAAATCCATCATTCTAATTACACACATTTTCCAGTCCAGCTGCTTGGAGTTTCTTCTCTGCTGAACAATTTAGCAATTATTTCTTTGACCACCAACTGCCACTCCCAGAAACGGCCTATTGGGATGGCTTGTTCTTCTGTCATTTGACAGAGCCCTATAAATTAGGAAGCACTCTTGCCATCTCCAGCAATGTCATGATGTAGCTTATTTATTTACTTATGGGGTGGAATGTAGCTGGCTTTTCTTGCTTTAAATTAGGACTGCTGAGGGAAAGCTACATCAAGATGGCCATGATTTACCAAAATGTCAGGTTTTCACAATTAAATATACAACATTATAGACCAAGTAAGAGGCAAGGAGACAAAATGTATTGTCGTGATCTTGCTGGACTGTTCCTGAGCAGAGTCAAAGCCTCATATTCCCACAAGAGCTCAAATGCAGATACTGACATCACCAACTGAGACTGTAGAGTCCTAAAGTGTATAAATGTTAACACAGCATGTATAAAGTGTAAATAAACATTTAAAGTATGCCACATGCTATTTGCCTCCATGAACTTTTCTGGCCATGAGTCAAGAAGAACTTGACAGTTCCCAGCTACCATTACTGAACACTTTGTTCAAGATTCCTGAGGAAAGGAGGGGAACGCAGAACACACACAGCTTCAAATTCTCATGAGCTCCAATTTTTCTGAAGCCACAGAGGCTATATGAACCCTTAAAATTATTGCCCTGAGATAATCTTCAAACTTTACCCCAAAAATATTCCTTGAAGTCTTCTTAAAACCAGATGACTGTTTAGCTTGACTAGTTAAAAATGTCTGCCTTGAACATTATGCTCTCTTAAGAACTATATGGGATCAAATTGACAGTAGCAGCTAGAAAGATGAGGTAGGAACCTTAGGGGGCAGTGAGTTTATGTTAACAGGACGGAGGGTAAGAATGACTGCCTAAATGGAAGAATGTAATCAATGTTATTACATGTAGAAACAGCAGAATCGGTGTCTGCTTTGCTGTTGTGTATATTCTGAACAAGAAGGGATTTTTTTTTTTTAATGAAGAAAAATACCATGTCACAATGAAATCCTGCTTTTGACACTCGTCTATTTATTTGTTTGCCTAATGTATCAGAAGTCAAAAAGCAAAGATTTTTCACTTTGGGAACAACTAAGGTGCACCTAACCTAAACCATGGTAGTTGAGTCACTCCATGCATGAAAGCTGGACAATGAATAAGGAGGACTAAAGAATTGATACCTTCTCAGACCTTCACATTTCAGGGTATGTTGGAAACAGACCGTAAACTGCCAAAGAACAAACACAAACAATTCTTGGAAAAAATACAACTTGAATTATCCTTAGAAGTGAGGATGGTGAGACTTTGTCTTACATACTCTGGACATGTTGTCAGGAGGGACCAGCTCCTGGAGAAGTAGTACATCAGAGAGTCAGAGAAAAAGTGAAAGACTCTCTTATAATGATGTACTGGCACAATGGCTGCAACAATGGGCTTAAATATAACGATTGTGAGGATGAATTGAAACCAACTCCAACACACACACACACACAAAACATACCCAGCTTGTCCTAACCTCAGGTTCCGACATCAGTGGGGGGCTAGAAAGAAAAGTGTCTTGAAGAGCAGCAAGAATATTAGACCAGTTCTCAGACCTTCGCATTTCAAGAGTTTGGGATTACTAGACTCAGGAGTTCTGGTGTGGCGCTGTGGGTTAATGCGCTCGACTAAAAAGTCGGTTTGATCCGCAAGGTTGGCGGTTTAAGCTCACCAGCCTCTCCTCGGAAACTCCTATACAGGGTTGCATGGGTTCGGAACAGACTTGAAGGCACAGAACAATACTCAGGAAGTGGCTCTTAGCTCAAGTCCGACTCCTGCGTAGTCAAAGCCGAGGGTGAGGGAAAAGATAAGCAACTGAAAGACTTCGCAGCGACAAGCATTCAAGGATGGGGCGGAGTCGCGATCGAATGGGGCGGGACTTCTGGATAGATGGGCGTGACCTCAGCAAGGTCACTTCGGGGCGGGGAGACTAGGGTTGGTCTTGTTCTGGAGGTGGTGTTGGGCGCAGCCGGAACTCACTCTCGGAAGGCGAAGGCGGTCGCTGCTCGGAGGACTAACGGGGCCGGGTGGCCTCCGCTCGGCTGGGTGTACGCGCACGCGCCCTGGAACGTCTAGAAGACCAGGGCATCCTGGGAGAGGCTAACAGGCGCGGAAACGACGCATAGGCTCGAGTGTGTCCCATTTTTTCGTTTTCTTTTTACTATTTTTCTTGGTCTCGACCCAGAGCGAAAGGTGCTGAGGCTGGTCTACTGTGACCCACTCACTCTAATCCCAACACGTGTAGGTTTTGGGGGCGCCCTTTCCTCCCTGGACCCCACCCACATGTCCCCCAAAGATAAGTGTTCTCAGACTCCAAGTTGGTTCTGTAGGGGCGGAAGAAACACTCTGCCGGGACGGGGAATTCTAGCGGGAGCGCCACAAGCAACTCGTGGGTCCTCACGCCTAGTTCCTCACTCCTTTGGCATTAATTTCACAGTTTACTCTCCCTGAACTCTCTGCCCACCTGGAAAAACGTCGCACCCAAGTCAAACCCTACATCCTGGTTTTTGAGTCTTGCATTGAGACCCTCAAGAGGAGTGATGCAGAGAAGCCACAACCCAGCCTCGCGATGCAGTCTGAATCCCGCCTGGGTGAAGAAGAGGAGACCCCGACCCTCCTCTGGGGTTTGGATCCCGTGTTTCTAGCCTTTGCAAAACTCTACATTAGAGATATCCTGAACTTGAGGGAGTCCCGGCAGGTGCCAGGTATGTGCCTGGATGAGTGCCTTGTGTTGCACCACCACTACCACTACCCCT